CAGTTGTTGTATAATGCAGTTTGTGTATTAAAAGACTGCAGGTTTAGATTGTTAAATTAATGTGCAGTTTAAAAAATAAGTGGCATTAATCACATTGTTTGAGCTGTAAACATACTTATACAGTGTATGCAGATGTATTTTTGTGCATATGTACTCTGTTTCAATGAAGGTATTGTTGTAAAATATGATTTGCCTCACTTCACTAAAGCTCTGGTTGAGGAAACACTGCATCACTTGTGTGATTATTTATCCTTGTTTTCCAGAGTGCAACATGTACGCACAAAACGAGGCCTGAAAGAGGTGTACGCCACTTCCCGTGCAAAAGTCGTGATGAGAGAAAGTTTGAGCCATTCTTACGAACATTTTGAGTATATTTTTAGTATGGATCCTAGGCATTGTGTTATAAATGAGTCCCCAGAAGTCTGCATACTGTGTCCAGGTGGAAATAAGCGTTCAGTCTGATCATCTTAATCTTAATGCAGCAATCAGACCCGTGGCTCTCCAGCACTGGGAGACAATACAGCATTAACCGTCGCTGTTGGCAACCATTTGCGAGAAATCAAACATCACAGTATGTTCAAAGCAGAGCTGGAAGTTTCATCTGGTTTGTCTTCATTTCCTCTGATGGAAAAGTTTGTTCAAGAACTGAACAAATTACAACCGAATCAGTTTCTGCTTTTTTCATAATTCATCAGCTTCAGAAATCATTTTCTATTTTAAAAAAAAAAAAAAAAAAAAAGGTAAGAAAAACTGCAACCTTCAGAGTGCCTTGAAATATATCCTTCAATGACAAATGAGAACACAGAAATGAGAAATGAAAGTGCCACTGAGAGCTAAACTCAATGCCTCTGTCAGAACAAGCTTTTAGGTTTTGTTATTGGATATCAGGCAAATGTCAGACTGAGCCACAGACTGGACTAATGTAGTGTTTATTTAGCGAGGGAGCCTCTTAAGCACTTTCTGTTCATTAATGTACTCTATTGATTATTACTCTTTGTGGTTTATGCAGCAGACGGTGATCACGGTCGGATTTTCTTTTTTCAGTTCTGCAAAACACAAACAGCACAAATGATGTTGCTCAAACCAAAACAGTTTTTCTTCGCCATAAAAGCTGCTACCAAGAGCTCATAAAACCATCGGTTTTACCAGCCACAGTCATTAATACAGAGAGTACATTTTTATGCACTCCAGCCGCCTGTTAATATACAGACAGTTGCAGTTAAATAAAAAAGCTTTCCTTCATTGCTGTTGCTGCTATAATGTCATACTCACATTAACAGCAACAGCTCTCTTAATACGAGACACAGAGAGAGAAAATAAGCAATAAAATGTCCTAACATGCACTGATTTGAGAGAGAGTTTAAAGCAAGTCGTTGTTTTCAGGGCACACAGGATTACATATTCCATTCCCTATTTGTTATTGTCATGTTTTATCTCAAAAAGTTGCATGTTACAGAATTGTGGAGATGTATCCTCACAGCATATGAGCCGCCACTGATAAAATATTGGCACTGGCCTGTGGTGTAAACAGAAATAAAAAGACACCCCTTCCACTTTCAGACACACACTGCAGTCCATTAGCAGTCAGACAGTTTTTACACATTAGCACATTAGGTTTTAAAAGAAACAATAACAGTGGGGTTTCACTGCTGACTTTTAGCTCTAATTCGAAGGTGTTTACACCCACATCAAATTAACAGTGGAGGAAATGTGGCCCTGTATTCACACAAATTAACATAAACTTTAATTAAGGTCATATTACTTCAAACTTGGCTGTGAATTATGTGCAGCCAGTGACTGCGGGGTTTTAAATCAGAGCTAACATCAGAGGAAATTATCACGTTAATGGAATTTAACATTACAGTAAATATGATAATAACCTGAAGAGGAAAAAGAGCAGAGGTGCCAGGTTGATCACGAGATGACAAAGGGATATGTCTGATACTAATCAGCAGGTGGCAATGATCGATCAAACATACTGACCGCTGACTTTGCTGCAATTAATCAGAGCAGATTGTCACAATGGGGGTCTAAGAAAACACAATTTAGGAGAGTACATGAAACTGAAACTGGACTGGAGGGTCCCCAGTTCAAGTCCTCGTGCAGGGAGTGTGGACTGGTGGCTGGAGAGGTGCAAGTTCACCTCCTGGGTACTGCCAAGGGGACCCTGAGCAAGGCTCTGAACCCCCAACTGCCCTGACGCCTCTCAATTTAATGCATGTATAGGTCCTGTTTGTGTATGTGTGTGTATTTCAGGGCTGTGTGTATATGACAAGAGTGAAAAATTTGAACTTCCCCTTGGAGATTAATAACATTAATCTTCTTCTGCTGTCTAATTACCTGCAGAGTTTTTATAAGAGGATACGAGAAGTGGCTGAATCACTCACAATGCAGTCTGCATCAAGTTGAAGCAAGTTTAAAGTTAGATACTGATCAGCTGGATTCATATTTTACTGATGATTGGAAAGTTATTATAGCCAGTTACGTTTAACACTTTTCATCTGAAGTGTCCAACCCTCAAACACTTGGTGTCTTCCCCATAAGGCTCTGCCAGGGTGGGACTGTAGAGACTCTTTGCCTCACTCAGATCAAGTTTTGTCAAGTCAACAGTCAACAGCTTTGCCCTGTAAACCCCTTTGTTGCCTTGTCTGCATGTTTGGGATCGTTGTCCTGCTGCATTGGCCTATAATACAAAAAGGGCTTTCGGCACTACATTGTTCATTCTCAAACACCTTGAACCTCACAGTCATTGTTGCACTTTAGATATAATGTGCTAGAACCGAGCAGAAACAATGACAATATTTACATTCACACTAATATTCCACTATTATTTTAAATGAGAAAATATGAATTTGTTGCAGGTCATGCAAACAGCATATTCTGTGTGGATATCCAGAACCAGGCCTTTTCCCAAATACATCTTCCGTGTGGGATATGCCTGTATTATTCAGGTTTTAATAGCATTTTTTGGACAACACATGGCCTTGCTCTGTGTGTTGTACACAAACCAACTAAGCAAAACTTTGCAAGGCTGACGTAGAGATGCATGCCCCAGAAGAAAAGCCCACATTTCTTGTCAGAGAGAGAAACACACTTTCTTTTAAAAATTATGCAAGACCTGGATATCAACAGGTTTTTGGACATGTGCAAATATCAAAACAGCAACCTTTTCAAGAAGGCAGGTGAAGTAATAAAAGAGGGAGGCTGTTTCCGCATAGCTGAACAAGTCCACCACAAACTCTGAAAAAAAAACTATTTTGATGCAAAGAAGCAAAATGCCACAATCTTCTCCAGCCGTTCCACTTTTCCATAATTCGATGTGATAAACCACATGTTAGGGCACAGTCATCGGAGTATGTACGGCTGCATGTAAACAGGAATATTAGTGAAATATTCATTCTCATTAGCCATGTAGACAGCTTACTAGGAATACTGTCTTTTTTGGAATAAGGGAAAAACAGGAATATTTTGTGCACGTCGTAAATGTAGTCAATGAAAATGTGTCACTGCCCTTCCATCTGCAGACTACACTGTGCACAGATACTTCCTGCAAAATGTCAGTGGCTGCTCATACCCCAGATGGTTTGTTACACAGAACTATTCAAGAAGGCGTTATTGGAAACAGTTAAGAAAAGGGCAGGCACTTTCAAAAAAAAAATAGCAGGTGATTGGATGAACCACGATGTCAATCATCGTCCATCATGGGCCAGTCAGGAGAACAGCAAAATATATTTTCCATTGAGAACAGCCAGACAGTTACCTCTCAGTCTGGTCACACACCTAAACCATGCATCTAGCTGCCAGTAGCTCCTTACGGGGCACTGATTAGTTCGAACCACTTTTGGTGCTGGCATAAACACATTTTTTGAAGCCTGACAAGATGGATTCTTGCCTGATATGGTGATATCGCAAGAATTCATGTTCCATGCAGGGTAAATTCTCGTTTGGCTCTCTGCAACCTAAAATATGCAACAGATGACTCTTGGTGTGAGTTATCCAGGAAAAAGCAGGAAAAGTTTAAATGTTGTTCCCATTTCACTCCACATGCAGTGGTTTCCTGTCTTTTGCCTGTCAGCGCTCGCTAAAATTTTCAAAAAGTGAACTTCCTCTTCTCAGCTCAGATCACTTTTCTTTCGACCAACTGCTGAGCTGACAAAACTTTCTTTCTCTTAACCGCTACCGCCTCTCTGCTCTCCCCCCCCCCCCCCCCCCCCCCCCCCCCCCCCCCCCCCCCCCCCCCCCCCCCCCCCCCCCCCCCCCCCCCCCCCCCCCCCCC